GGGAAATCGGTAGTCGTGTTGAACGAAACCAAACAACTGTAATGCGGATATGTGACCGTTGGATACAGGAGGGTACTACGGACCGACGTGTTCGGTCGCATCCACCTCAGTGCACCACTTCACTTGATGACAGGAACATTGTGCGCATGGCAGTGAAGGATCTCTCAGTCACATCACGAACCATAGCACAGCACATTCAGTCTGTAACGCAAAATCCCGAGTCTGCGCGTACCATTCGACGCTGTTTACAGCTGAGTGGTCTGTCCGCAAGACGTCCATTGCTTCGTCTATCCTTGACGCAGAACCACAGACGTCTCCGCCGCCAATGGTTTCGATGAAAGAAGGATGTGGACGGCAGAATGGAAGGAAATTGTCTTTACTGACGAGTCACGCTTCTGTCTGCAACACCACGATGGTTTGATTCGAGTCTGGAGACACCGGGGAGAGAGGATGCTGAACAGCTGCGTTATGCACCGGGTATTGTGGTATGGGGCGGTATTGGATATCACTTTTGCCCTCCTCTAGTACGCATCGCCGATACTTTAAACAGCCAGCGCTACATCTCCGAGGTGTTGGAGGCAGTTGTCCTTCCTTACCTTCAGGGCTTGCCCACAGCCATATTTCAACAGGATAATGCGCGACCACACGTGGCACGCATTGTCCAAGGGTTCATCGTCAATCGTCAGATTGAATTGCTTCCCTGGCCGGCTCGCTCTCCGGATCTTTCGCCGATAGAAAACATGTGGTCCATGGTTGCTGAACGATTGACCCAGATTACATCACAAGCTGCCACACCACATGAACTTTTGCAACACGTGGAAGCTGCTTGGTCTGCTGTACCCCAAGAACACATCCAAAGTCTCTTTGAATAAATGCCGAGGCGTGTGGCAGCGGTGATCTCCAACAATGGCGGCTACTGTGGCTACTGATTCTGGAAGGAACCACTTATCACAGAAGTCTCTAAATTTAATCATTTGATACTTGGTCAACATGTTATCTACTAAATAAATTTTGTTGTGATATCTCTTGTCTTTCTTGGTGTTGCAATTTGGGTGGCCAGCAGTGTATTATTGTTTAACTTTACTGTATCTATTGTAGAAAAAAAAATTATTTTTCTGTCTATTACCTGCTCTGGTTCCTCGTAATGTGTTTTTACTGAATAATTTAAAATGGCTGAAAGTTGGAATTTCAGAATTTAATTTAATGTATTGGTTGAGTATATTTAGCCCCATATAGGTAAAGTGTTTTGAATTTAAGCATGTAGAATGATTCTTGAAATAACCTTTATTTGTATTCAGGCACAATGTCCAAAATTTGAATACTAATTTTGCTGAAATCATATATTTGAAAATGTTTTAATTCTGCTGTATTAGGCGAGTTAAAATTAGTAGTAGCGAATTTTTTAATATATGCTCTGTGGTTGTTAATTCTAATATTAAGACTATTTTTGCTTTGTCCTACATATTTAAGGTTGCAAGTGTTACAGGAGATAAGATAAATGCAATTATATGTGTTTCAAAAGGGGAGTTGTTTTGTGGCTGTGATATTAAAAGGCATAGTGCTAACAAGTAAGTCATTTGCTAGAATGACATTTATAGAAATTTATGTGATTGAGACGACCCATTATAAAAGTAAATAGGGAACTAACCTACAATACAGTGAATATTTAAAGTAAAAATTCTTAACTCAATTTTTGGACAGGAAAATTTTAAAAAACTGGGAATTTAAAATGGTATTGCTAATTTAATTCACTAACTAAAAATTTGAAAATTTTAAAATGATATCTTTAAATTTGCTTTTTACGAATAAAGAATGTTTATTAATATATATATAATTTTAAAAAATTGACATTTAAATTTTAACAAACACGTATAAAAGTAAAAATGTAAATTTAAAGCCAAAATTAAAAAAGCAAATTTAAAGCCAAAAAAAAAATTTTAATTATTGGTATTTCTTTTTGGACATTCACTTTTTCACTAATATTGGTTTTTTGTAAATAGTTATTTTTTTTTTTTAGTCCAAAGGGATTTGAATCCCGAAGAACTATTAGTTTCGTTTTGGCATTTTGCGTCGGACTCATAAATGTCGGTTCACTTTTCAAAACTGTTTGCACCAAAATGTTAGAGTCCTGCATTATATTTGAAGAAATTAAATAATGAAAAATCTGCATAAATGTATGTATATTTCTCGTATTGTGATAAAACAACGGTACATAGAGTCATCGAATTTTGAATAACGTAATCCTCCAACGAATATGAGCATGTGGAAGACCAAATTTGAAATTTGAAATTTGTTTTATGATCGATTTCCTATTTTTTAAAACTTTGACGAATTTTTGATTAACAAACTCAAGGATTTCAAAGCGAGCAATGGCAACGTTGTGCAGAAAAAAACATTTTTATCTTCAGCGCGTGAGTCTCTGTATCGGAAATTCTAAAGATATGCTCGTTTTAAAACTATTTTGCGATATTGCTGTTGCACTGGATCTTATGGTTTAAGTGCGAGGAACATGATATTTAATAAAGAAAGGTAACACACAAAATGTTAAAAAACGCCCCTTTGGACGAAATTTAAAATCTGAAACATTTCAGATTTTTTTTTTTTTTTTTTTTTTTTTTTTTTTTTTTTTTTTTTTGTAATTTGCTCCAGGAAAAAAAATCGCTAATTTTTTTAATAATATCAAACATATAGCATATTTTTTTGCTCTTTACCTTTTGTTTAATAAATAAGCTTTACAAATAAGTCAAATTTGTTTTGCTTCTAAATCTTCCTTTGCCTGATTTTGCATTATCCTTAATTTATGGAAATGAGTATAGTTAGCATGCAATAGTTGTAAAAATATCAACAATTTTAAAGTTCTACTAAGGCTAACGACGACGGCATTTGTTTACATTTGAAACTTAGTACCATGGAGTATAAATGGGTATCCTCCGTGCTTAGTACTCCGATTCTTATCAGTGAGCCGGCAACAGTACATAGTGATAGCCCGGCGATACCTGCATTGATTGATTGATTAGTATTCCGTGCTTAGTAGTATAGCGAATTAAATCAGTTTCTGCACCAACTTCAGTGTCTTTTCACCGAGTTTGGCCAAAAGTTTTGCGCATCCAAAAATTTGTATTTCTTCCAATTTTAATTAAACTCTAATTTTAATTGTAAAAATTGTTTTGTTCACGGTTTTTAACTCTGTTTGGTATTTTAGGTTTTTCTGCATTTTACAATTTTTAATGAAGATGTTTTGAGTTTTCATGTATTTTTTTCCTTGCCGCGAAGTGAGAACTAACTGAATTGATTGAATGAAAAATATATGTCTAATGAAATTCGGAGGAATAAGTTTAAATGAAATATAGCAAAAAATGAGCATAATTTACTAGAACAAGGAAGTCATCATGTGATGGCCACATCATTTTTTTTTTTTTTTTCTTACCTTTCGTCCGGTTTCTGTAGAAGTCAGACAAGGTCCAAAAGACAGTTGTTGTCCTGATTTTTTAATTAGAAGATGTGAATGTGGAAATATAATTCTCTTTTCAATTCTCTGCGATATTTTACTTAAATAATTTCAAAAAACATTACATATAATGTTAGGATAATAGGCAAAAATTATTAATATCATGACTAACTATACAAAATAGAACATAATATTTAAAAAATACGTAGGATAATGTAGAAATTATGTATGATTTCATAAGTATTTTATACATTATTTTTACTTTCCTCCCCTTTTTTGGGAGGGGGAGGGTTGTTAAGGGAATGCTGCGCCACTTAACTTTTATATACAGTCCTAAAAAAACCGGAGAAGTAAAACTAAATTTTTAAAAAGTTATATAATTAATAGTTTTGACTTGCCATTTGATATCAAATACGTAATTAATAAGTATGACTGTTTGATATCTCGTTTTAGAAGAGGCTGATGACATTTAGAGACTTTTTAAAGTAAATTACGGCTTTTTTTACGAATTCATTATTTCTTTTTTCAGTGATTATTTTAATCACATTTTACGTTGCGAAGTTTTGCGTTTCATGATTAATCTGTTTAGTTTTATTAAAGTAAACTAAATGTCTGCTTTTAGAGTGCGATTTCTGAAGCGAAATTATTCAGATTTGCGATTTCCATGGAATAAATCATAAAAAATTTTCTGCGTCTTCCAAGTCTACCATTTTTCTATAATTTAATAATAATAATAGTAATAATAAATGCTAGATTTCAGCAATTTTATTAGAATTTAAATTATTTCAAGCAGTAGCCTGAGATAACTTGTTATAACTTGAATGTCATTATAAAATCGATGTTACTGGTACAATAACAATAGATTACAATCTGTTTTACTATTTACCATTAATCGTAAGATCGTACTATTAATTAGCGAAACTTTTCTATTATCGAAACTGAACACATAAATGTATGTATGTGTTTGTGCACACACCTACATACCTACATACATGCATACAAGCACACATGCATGCATACATACATTTCTGAATCCGGTCCCGATAACAGAAAATAACCTAATTTCCTTTGTGTATAAAAGTATGTATGTTACATACATCATTTTCCCTTTTTAAGTTTAATTAGATACACCAGGATATAGTTTTGTAGCAACAAAGTTTTAGGATAAATATTTTAAAGAATATTTGCAATAGCATAGTATTTGATGAGTATTTAAACAGGAAACTTGTAGCAAGAACTGCTTGTACATTTTTCTCAGGCATGGTTTCCTCGAAATAGTATATACAGCTAGATCGCAATATATATATATATATATATATATATATAATACGATGCTTAATTAATATTGTGTTTATTCAAACTCTCGTGCAATAAAACTGATTTTCTTCTAATGAGCAAATTAATGCTTTATATCAAATTTTTACTAAGAATTTCGAAAAGACTTTTTGTTGAATACAATAGTGATCTGGTACATTTGAATGACTTAGTTTTTTGACAAGAGATTTGCTTTGTGTAGAAGATATTTGCATTTGTCAGAATTGTAGTTTTATGTTCAGCAAATTCTAAACTTTAATCTTGTAAAACCTATTTCGAAGAAAAATGCTGTAAATGCCATAATATGGCCTGCACCAAGCAGAATAAAAGCTCCATAAATGTCTTCCAACTTAAGCGTAAATTTCTCCTTTACAGTATTCTTTTTGAAATTAGACTTGAAGTGCATTTTAAAGATTTCAAAGTTCAGTATCTGTTTATATAATCCAGCGGCAGTTATTCTATGTATACATTTGTTCAGCTTTTGAAGGCAACAAAAGTTTTCTTTCACTGGTATTGCTATAAGTGTAATGTAGAATAAATCAGGAGATACAAAATACTTGTGAATATCTTCATCTAAATAGTTGAATTGCATTATACTTTTAGATCCAATAAGAACTGTTCTTGAATTTGGGATATAAGATGAAATTTCCCCACCGTGTTTGACAAGATTATTTTTACTTTTAACGTGATCTCCAATTATTTTAATTGGACCAGACGTGGCACTATAAAATGCATCTTGGTCTGATGTGCCTTTGAATATGTAGCATTCATACTGACCACTGGAAACGGCTTTAGCAAGTTGGTTTACTTGTCGCACTGATGGAGAAATCAGTGGAATAGTCAAGAAAGAAAGCAAAACGCCACAATAACTTAATCCAATTATCTTGGTATAAAACAGCCACGAAATGTACCAAATTCTTTCACTGTTGTTGTCTGTTGTTATGTTTAGAGGCTGACCAAGAAAACTTCCACACACTTCAAGAAGAAATCGTGAATTTCTGTAACGTCTCCGGAAAATCTCTATGAAAACAAATGGAGCAATTACCAATGCTAACGCCACACTTAACCAAACAATTCTATCGAAAGGGTAAAAGAATGACAAACCTTTCGGCAAAAGTGAAGGAGCTTGAGTAATGAAGGTTGAACCATCAATGTTATATGGATAGCTGTAATGAACGGCTTCCCTTCTTGCTGCAGTTAATGCTATCATATTTATAGCAAAGTCAATCTCACCTCTCTTAATCATTCCAATTATTCCAGTCCAAGTTCCATTCTCCAGCTTTCTTCCAAACTCTCCGTCAATTGGTTTCACAATTGTGTAATTACAACTTAGGCAGTACGCAATCAGACTGAGAAACTGAAATTCTACACCATTCGTTGGTTTAAGTTCACCATTTGAAGAAAGACTGCCTTCGTAAAGATGTCTCGAAGGGAAAGCAGCAAGTCTGAAAATGCGTTTAAGTAACATTTTAATAATATTTTAAAACAAACCATTGATAAGCGAAATGAAAAACTAAAACTTCACCGAGGAAAACAGTAACAGTGTGTATGCATCGGAATAAAATACTGAAATACTCCTAGTGCCAATGTTGACTAAAATGTTGACAATTTATTGCATCTTTACAACTGACAGAGTGCTAAAAAATTATAGTAATTAGAAGATAAACTTAAAATACTAGAGTAAATTTATCTAATAATTGAGTATTACAGTTTAATCAAAAATAGTGTTGTTTTGATGGCATGGTATAAGTAATATAATATAATTGGCCGTAGGAATCAATAATTTTTATTTTTCTTCATGTTGATGTATCACAAATAGAATAAGAAAACTCATGATCTAAATTACAGTATATTTTATTAATGTTGCCATTTTAGGGTAACATTCGATTTTAGATCGATTAACATACAGCAAGCATTTAATGTTAATGTGATAAACAACAATTGCATGCTCAATTGGTAGGTTGCAGATAGCTTCTGAAATCAATATTGTCAGACAAATATTCATATCGTACAGCATACACAGAATTTGTATTGTTCGGATCACTGTTATGATATATATTTTCTTAAACAGAATGCTGTTGCTTAGTTATATAAATATCGGGATAGCGGATAATATTCAGTTATTGGAATGTGAAATTGCTTAGCTTCTTATTTTCATAATTTTACTAAAGTTTGAAAATATAAATTAGCTCTTATCTTTTAACTGAAACTCGTAATACTCTTGTTTTAACATAAAAAAGAAAAAGAAAAAAGAAAAAAGAAAAAAAAAGAAAGGGGTCATTAAGAGAAAAACCAATATTTAACATTTTCTTCTAAAATCCTCTAATGCTATAGATGCATGATTTTGTCCTACACGAATATAGTTCAGTAAACTAATAATTTTCAAATTCAGATATATTCTTGGAACGTTAATGCTTCTGATATTGCATGTTTACTTGCGTTTAGGGGAAATTATGCTGAGAAGATACATAGAATTGTTTAAAGTTTCTTTTCTTTTTGCGCATAAATATCGGTGCATTAACATGAAGCATTTAATAATGCAGCTATTTTTATATTAATTCACGGCTGCTTTAATATTAATATGATGCTTTAATTATTAAAAATTTTTTGAATTCATTTTACACTTTAAGAGCAAATTATATTTGAAATAATTTCTTGCATTTCATACTTATGTTGGATTAGTTGTTCCTGCAGAAAAGAAAATGTAAAATGCATAAAAAACAAGATTTTAATTAAATGTTTTAAAAGAATAAAACTATTTTTATTCATCATCACATTTTTGGAAACATGTGACTTGAAATAAAATCGTACAGCCGCAAATAAAGGTTGATTTTAAACTAAATTTATAATAAGCAAATTTAAACGAACAAAATGTAAACATTTGTATGTAAGTACCTTCTATATTATTACTTTCGTTGTTATTAAACACTTTTTAATTTAATTCTGCTAATACAGTTCTTTATGAGTATCAATTATTTTATGTTTAGGAACACATGGAAAAGAATATTCGAATAGCTAAAAAATTACTTTTTACACTTCTTAAAATAATATAATTTAAAAGACTTTTATGTATTTTATTCAGCATGATTAGTTTACCGAAGGAATAAAAGCAGAAAAGAAAGGAAAGTCTGGCCTGTGATAAGTAAGAAAAATTTTTCCTCTAATTAGCATAAGAAAGAAGTACGTGACTTTGTACGAATCTACACAGCACACTTTAAATGCCAACTTCCTAGAACCACATTAACAGACGACTTATCGTACAGTCGTGCCTTCTAAATATAGTAAATACAAACTGAGATGAAGGTTTCAAATAAACTTATTTAATAACGCATCAAACTGACGGTTACACAAACTGTACGACAACAGGTATTTAATTGCCAATATTTGAGGGAAACGGAAAAAATATATATCCCAGTCAAATTATACTATTAATTACAAATTAACCCGCGTTGAAATAAACTTTGACTCGGTTCTAAGTATTCACAAAGCAAATGCGGCTAAAGAAAAGCCTATGAATCAGTTCAGTAGCAGAAAGGTGGATCACAGTAACCGATTATTGATGTTTGGCAAAGGTTCTCTGATAAATTCAAGAAATCTACGCTCATGTACATTAACTAATTTGCATTATGGTGACAGCTGACGAAAGCAGAAGGGATAGCGTAAGTAAAATAATAAGATAACTATATATATTATCATCATAAAACTATACAGTCTCACTTTTCTTTCAAGGTCTTCCGATCAACGGTGTAAACTGCATTTTACTTTCTCTTTGACAATTTTTATTTAAAAATATTTTACTGTTGGCAATGCATCGATAAATAAATTTTGAAAAGATTACGAAAATTAAATTATGCTAATTTAAATTAATTAAATTATGTTAAAGGCTCTTTACTGTTGGCAATGCATCGATAAATAAATTTTGAAAAGATTACGAAAATTAAATTATGCTAATTTAAATTAATTAAATTATGTTAAAGGCTCTTTACTAGCTACAGAAGATTTTTTTTTTTTTTTTTTTTTTTTTTTTTTTTGTTTGTTGTGTGTGTGTGTGTGTGTGTGGGAACAAAGATACAAATTCTAGGACAAATAGTTTGATCGTTAAGCAAGGATACGTTTGAAAACTTAACATTAAATTAAAAAAAGTATCGAATTTTGAAGAGGCTGTGCGTGTTGCTGTAAAATATTATACTGTCATGGAAATAACATTTGTGTGTGAAATTTCAAGAAAACAAATAAATAAATAAATAAATAAAAATAAATTTCGTAAAAGAGGGATCCGAACTGATTTCAAGATTTGACCCCCCCCCCATACACACACACAAACAAGTAGAAATGTTAAGCTAAAGGAAACCATGTAATTATAGACTTGATCAGTTGAAAGATTAATAAATGAAATCGCAAAGCTATCAAAAAGTCAGTTTTGGTATGTTTTCCCTTCTGAGCATGAAAACGTGATTTTAACTGGCTACATACATCTAGTACTTATCTAGAAATCTAACTTACTTAGAAACGAATATACTTATCTCAAGGGAAAAACCTAATTTTTCATGCAGCTATTTAAAACATTAGTGCGTATTTATATTTATAATAGCAATGATAAACCGTTCCAGCTTCTTTTGCATTCTCAAAGCGTCTCACAGGCAATTTTCAAATGACATGACACCAGCCAGGTTTATCTTGAACTAACAGTAATGTGTGCAAGTGCTATATTGGACTACTCAAATCTTGATTTTCCGCCAAATGAGCAATTGTGACACGATTCTGCATCGGTTGAATTCGTCTCTTACGCGAAACAAAGATGAACTGTCAGGTCACATCAACAAAGCGTGGTGTATGCTACCTCAGGAATGATTCGAGCATTTATTAGTTCGATGCAATGGCGTTTCAAAACCATATTGCTCGAAAGGGACCTCAACATTAGCGGCCGTTTGCAACCAAAATGGGAGGTACACATCTACATATTATAGCAGTCTTATATACAGAATTTCAACATTCTGAGGCTACTCGTTTTTAGAAACGTACGTACAAACGCCACAAAAGAAAACATAATCTCTTTAGAACTCATTTTAAATCAGTTTCGTATTTTTTTTTTCGGGGGAAGAGTCCTTTATTCTGTCCGTACGTACAGATGCCACGCAGAAATATGGTTAAATTGCATTCGATAGCGGTCAAAATGGATATTTTCGTTGAAATATGATACCCGAAATTTTTTGGGATTACAGTACTTCCTTTTTACGTCGTACAAGGAAGTAATAACACTCCGAACGAACATTAAATAAGAATTTAAACAACAAAAATCAGCATTATATTTGCAAATTTCCACAGGACTAGTTTCCATGGTTTTGCCGAACCATCGCCATCAGCTGCCAAAGCGATATTTTTACCCTGTTTATAGGTAATAAAGATGATTTAAATAAAGTTCTTTCAACAAATGAACGAGATAAGATATAGTGATTAGATAAGCTAAGATAAGAGTGACTGGATAGGAGTTAAGCTACTGGCACCATCTATTGATGGAAAGAGAAATAAAACATAATTTCTTTAGAGGCAAAGATGGAATGGAATTAGGGTCGTTAATAGAACAATAAGATTTTTTTTAATGTGGAATGCCTCTAGAAAATCTAATTCACCAATGGAAGATGTTTTTTGAATAATTTTGGCTGAGGAAAAATAACGTGGTTCATAAACGTGGTATTCCTTTCCGCCCTATTGCATCAAATTTAGGGACTGCCTCGTACCCATTAGCTAAATATTTAGTTTCTAGATTTTCAACTCTATTAGGTAATAACATTTACGCCATAAAACATTCAATAGAGTTTGTAAAAAAGGTTAAAAGCATATCTCCTAGAAATTTGCCCATGGTTTCTTTTGATGTAAAATCATTATTCACTAATGTTCCAGTGGAAGGTGCATTAAGATGTCTAGAAACCAGACTTCGTGAATTTCATTTCTCTTGCATCGAAATTGATGAGCTAATTTCCCTCACTCAACTCTGTTTGAAACTAACGCATTTTGTTTTCCAAAATAAATATTGCAAGCAAACTGAGGGATTAGCCATGAGAAGCCCCCTCAGTCCTATCCTATCTGATATCTACATGCATTATTGTGAATCAAAATTGTTTGAAACTTTAAACTTCCCGGTATGGTTCCGCTACGTAGACGATACTTTTACCCTGTTTATAGGTAATAAAGATGATTTAAATAAAGTTCTTTCAACAATGAATTCCATTGATCCTGCTATTCAGTTCACTTTTGAACTCGAGACATGCAATTCTCTTCCGCTCCTCAACATTCTGGTCAGACGTAATACATCCAACTTCAATACTACGATTTACCTTAAACCTTCATCGGTTTGCCTTCCAGCACACTTCAAATCATGTCATCCGACTAAACAAAAGTTACCTTCATTTTATTACTATGTTTTCCATGCACTTCAAGTTTCGTCTTCCAAACTGCCTCTTGATGAAG